CCTCAGGGCGTTTTCCATTTCCTCCTCATCCGGGGGTTCAATAGAATTCAGGGAGTCTTCCTTAATTACACCTACTTCTCCAGGCACCGTTCCTCTGTTTAATGCACCTTTGAAATGTTGTACCCATCTCCTTAGTACGTCATCTTTATGGCTTAAAAGAGTTCCATGTAGGTTTTATTCTCATTAATGTTCTCTAACAGAACATAAATGGCTAATTTTCAATATTAGCTTCCTCTAAAGTACCTTTATTTTTTTTATTTGAAATAATTAACCATTTCACATTAATCTTTGATATAAAAAACATCTAAATATAAAATATGAAAGAATTTGATAATTAATGGAGAAATGAGAGATCGTAACGCATAATAGTTGAAATGCAGGAACGAGCGCATCCAAAAGATTATAATAAGCTTTCATGCATAACATGCGCTTAGTATCATACGGACTTCGACAATATTATGTACATATACATATGTGGTTTTCATAAATGCTATTGTTGGTATTATTTAATTGTATAGATTACAGTGATATAAAAATTAAAATTTGTATATATGAAGGTAATTAAACAAATAAAAATACCCACAATGAAATGCAAAAAATATAGTGTCTGTAATTTTTACTTTCACTTCTCCTTTGTCTAAAAATATTTATTTCTGTTAAGAGGATGGTAAGTGAAAGTCGTGTGATGCGCATACCAGATATTTATACTTCTATACCTACGTTCTCATTTGCCAAAACAGAAATAATAAAACAGTTGGATCATTCCATGCCAACTAACCGAAATAACCGACCTCTATATTTTTGATACGATCATACATAAGGTTAAGATTACAATACTTAGTAAAGGTTGTCTAGGACTTCATGAACCTTAAGTCTATTCACAGTTAAAAAATAATAAAATGAAAAAAAATATATATATATCTGGACACCCCCTGAAGGGTCTTGAGTTCAGTTCCTTGTAAGAATGTACTGTTTTAAGGCCAACGGTTGTGCAGGGAGTTGACCAGACCCAGACAACTGCCTGGTTTTTCCCCCTTAATTATTTTAATTAAGAATGCCTATTTTATAGAGGCTGGGTGTACCCCATGAGGGTCTCCCAACCCCAGGTTCTATCCACAGCTGATGAAAAATTACTTGTCATCAGCTGGATTCAAATACAGGTCCTTGAGTTTTGGAAGTCAGTGCTTACCCACTGAGCTACCCCTCTCCCATTCACAGTTAATAAATAATAGAAAATTTAATTTTCTGGCTTTACTGTACTTAATAGTTATAAGAAACATTTAATATTGATTTTAACATGATAATATTTAACTACTGGGCCTTGAAATTAGAAATAGACAAAATAGTTACTCATAAAATTAACTATGGGTGATGAATAGTCAGGACGCAGTAATTTTTATAAGTGCCATCTCTTTATTTATTTTAGTGTTATTAGTAAAACTGCCTTTCTTTTTACTCTTGATTTTATTTAGTATCATTTCTTATTTATTTTTATTTCATTACAAGCCCATAGTCAAAAAAATTTTAACTGTAAGAAACAACACAAATCTTGTATCCATCTTGAATATTGTATTATGTTATCAAATTATTTGCATACTACAAACAAAAATGTACTCCTCCCTTCCCTCTGACTTTATCTATCTTTCGTTATCTTAAAAGCACATCTGATGTATCCTCCACCGACCCTTTACTTACCTACCAAAGTGTCCGTAGAGTACCTTCAGTGCTTGAAACACGATTAGAAATAGTAAATATTAAATTTTTTATAAGTTGATTATATACATTATTTTTAGTTTGTACTTAACACATATTTTATTTATCTCTTTCATATATCATCAATCATTATTTTTTTCATTATTAACCATTATCTGTCTTATAATATATCTCTGATGGTATTAAACAATTTTTCAGCCCTGATGATGACCCATATGTTTGGGTTGAAACGTCGGCACTAATAAAAACGACTGCATCCAGAATATTTATCGCCCATGTATATGTAGAACAGTCGACTTCCTTCAATAAAATTAACTAATGGGATATTAAGTCATAAAATTTGCTTTTACTGTATATTTATCTATATAAATTTTATTACTTATTATAATTATTTATAATTTATTACTTCTAGCAATGTTAGATGGATAATTATTTCAAAAAACAAAATCACTTATATTAAGTAATAATTTGAAAATTCGGCATTTAAGCCCTGTCCAAGCATCAAGGAGGTTAATACTTACCTGATATTAAAGACTATTTAGTTTTACATTAATATTGTTAGTTAAAATTTTCATTAAATTTAAAAAGATGATCTTGGGAAAGATACCATAATAAGTATAGTAAAAAGACCTTTTAGTATCGATAAATAATTACTTTATTTCAAATTTTCACCTCTTCAGGCATAATCTGATTTTACATATAATTTAAATTTTCATCTGAAAAAAACATTTACAAAAATCTTTCAGAGGATTTACTATTAGAAATTAGCCCATTTATAAAACCATAATAACCTTAACACAATATTCACCAGTCAACATCTATATATCAAAATATAAAAACTTCCCCACTTGCACACTTAGTCAAAGAACACAACCGTGAATGAGACCAATCCTTCAAGGAGGAGAGGCATTGCCACCATTAAAATATTTAAATACTACATGACTAAAATTAAAACCAGAATATATTAATACTTTAATATCAATTATTTAAATCTATCAATTATCGAAGATTAGTTTATTTACAAATAATATATATATATATATAAATACATACCTATATACATTTCATAATATATATTTTTCAAAAATACATTATTTTAAATTCTGTAACAGTAAAATTTGGATAAATTTGAAATAAAGTAATTATTTATCGAGACCAAAAGGGCTTTTTCTTCTATAATTAAATTTAAAGTAAAAACAATAAGAATACTACTACTTCAGAATATGCTGTTTTTTCTATGCATATGAAATTTCTTAACAAGGGTCTCTAGACTATGGCTCGAAGAAAAAATCCAGTGTGACAAGGTTATTCTGATTACATTATAAAATTTATAAAGTTGAAAATGGTGATGGGTTATTAAAGTTGCTAGAGATAACTCTATGCTGGTTGGAAAATTGAAAAAAAAAAAAATGGATAAAGAGAGAGAAGTGAGAGAAAGGGAAATTAAATATAAAAAAAAATAATAATAATAATATATATATATATATATATATATATATAATATATATTGTATACTATGCTCATACATATTGTTAATCCTATATTATTTTAAAAACTGTCTGTAGTCATTAATAAGTATGCTGTGTTTTTAGTAACCCAATGTAATTGGGCAGCACCATTTTATGATAATAAAGTGATTCTCTCTCTTAACGACACTATTTATCAACCAAACACATAAGGAAGAAAAATTATAACTAGCACATGCCAGAGTATGAACCTTCCAATTTCCATCACACAGTAATTGTAAATTTATTTAAAATTACTGTGTGATGGAAATTGAACTAATCAGTTCAAAAATATATATAAATAAGAACAAGTTGAGACTGAATTCACAGAAAAAAGTTGCCTCAATTTGTTTTGGTTTGATTAATAATTGTTAAAAATATGGTATGTCTGTAAAATAAATTATTCAATTTGTTATCAGGAAACTTAAGCAAAGGTTGACATAATATGAAAAATAGTTGGATTAAAAAAAAATCTTATGCGCTACTCATTTCTATTCAAGGTTAAAATCTTTAACGTTGAATAGAAATTATTTTCTAGCCATGTTGGGCTATGAACAATGGGCATTTAAGCCCTCTAAAGTGAAATCAACGGGGATGAGACCTAAATGATATTAAAGACCACTTAATGATACACCAATTTTAATCAAATCGTTAGAGCTGTTTTTGAGAAAATCGTAAAAATACGTTTCACCCTTGATATAAAGTGGCACTTACGGTTGGCCGATTTTGAGGAAAAAGTTGCTGTCATATCTAAGGCATATACCTCTCTTAAATATGTAAAATAAATTTTGTACTTTTCATTTTTGAGCTAGAATGCTAACACACACACACACACACACACACACATAGACCACTTTTTGGGACGACTTGGTTATTTGGACTCAGGGTACCCTAAAATGTGTATCTCCGTTGAAAACTCAGATTCAAAAATTTTCACGGTCGCAATACTTACCATAATATATCACATAGATACGTAAGTGAAAGTAAAAACATTGTCGAATGAAGTAAGAACATTTTTTTAAATAAATTTTAAAAAGTTTGTAAATTACTTTTACAGGAAATTAAAAAAAACATATCAGTTTGTATGACACTGTATCAGTAATATTGATATTTTTATCATGATCACTAGTCATGGCCCGAGGGACATCGTGGAATTGTAAATGTGACCCACAGGTGAAAAAGCTTACAATCCCCTGTTCAATAAGCTTTTAGTTAGTCATAGCTTCAGTTTGCATTTAGAAATTAAAACAAAAATAAGGAGGATAAAGGTAAAATTTTAATAATAGATACACAAATTATTTTCATTGGTTTAATTTTCAGCCAGTATAACAGATAAAAATTAATCTAGTTAACTTTAAAACGGTTAGCTACATTCTATGTTTAGCATCAGATTTTTAAAAATATCAATAACTAAATTTTTAGTTATGATTATTTAAAATATTTTGATTTTATCTAATTACTTCTTGTTTATGAGGTGAAATTAAAATTATTTACCATTTTATATATGGTATGAGTGAGCTTACAATAAAGACTATAAATTGAACACACAACACAAATTGACGCATAATACAACAATCCTACATAAAGCAAGTGAGATTTTTGGGGAAGATACATTATAAATAAAAATAAAATAATATTAAAAATACTCTTTTGGATGAAAATACAGCTAAAAAATGACAGAAATACAAGATTTCTGTGACTCCGCAATACTGACGGATCACAATACAATGCTTAAGCCCTGAAATATAGCTTCCACTAAAATATGGGCTTTAGGCATATCAGCTAATTTGCTGGGTCCTTCCTCCATACTTGATAGAAAAGCCAGTCCTCAAGGAAAGATGGTATGAACGCAGTTGCTGTACTCCACTCCAAGTTTTCATTAAGGGACAACAGCTGCTCTTCAAACATCTTGGCAGCACCAGTACAAGCCACACCACAGCACTGTAATATTAAAAAATAAATAAATTGTTCTAATTAAGAACAGTAACAACTGAATATTTATATATATTTCTTCTAATAGGCTCTATTTTGAGATAACTATATGGGCCATCTCCAAAACTAAAGAAGTATATGTAAATAAGAAGTGATAAGACTTGGTAAAGTAAACAGTATACCATTCAAATGCACATGAATCTATAAATATGTATGCTCATATTACATATATTTATATTGATTAGCAAGACAAGACTAATGTACCATATTCTGTAAATTATGTATAAATTAAAACAGGATTTTTTTTTTTATCATACCATTTATTTATAAATGAATAGTTTTAATATTTACAACCAATCATTAGAGAAATAATCAAAATATGACTAAATTGTAACATACTATAATATACTCTAAATATCCATCAGTTTCAAATACATGTTCATAAATAACTGCATAAAAAATAAATTTGAACAAATACAAAATTACTCACATGAGTCATATATTTTCCTTGAGGCTTGAGAATTTTCACAGATGTACTGATAATTAACTTTATGAAATCCCAGGTTTCATCCTGAGGAGTAGGTGTGACGGGTGCATCTGTTAGATCACCAAATACATAATCAAATTTACGTCCTTCATTTATCATTATTTCTAAAGACTGCATACAATCACCAACTACTATCTGAGAAACAAAGTAATTCAATTATGTAACAAAGTGACTGTAAAAAAGAAGTCCAAAATCGAAAAATTAATTTTTACACAGACACTACTAATTCTAGCCAAAATAATGAACAATGATAAATTACCTCATAATTAGCACCTTTCATGTTATCTAAGGAATCACCACAGCACTCCCTCATATGTTCTCTACAAGCTTTTATCACAACATCATCCAGCTGAAAATAGTAAACTTTATTTAGTTCAAGAAAAAATTATAATAAAATATTTTCCATGCCGTATTTGATGTAATGTAGTGGTTTTTAACTAGGTATGACAAAACAATGTTCAAAGGAATATAGTTTAACTGCCTCATCAGTGGGAAACTATAAAACATTACAATTAAAAAACTTAAAATAGAATCTTTTGAAGGAATATATGCCAAGAAGAGATCCAAAAGGATGGGAAAGCCTTTCCTCTAATTCAGACAGCTTCCTTGTCAAATAGCTTGACTTTTATTTTAATTGAAATAAATTGCTATACAAACAACACTCACAAGACTGAGGAGGCAGGTTGTTACTATCACTTACTTATATATATATAATATAATATTAGGATCATGAAAAATGTATAATGCATATGCCTGAATTTTATAACTTTTTCATTAATATTGTATAATATCTAAAATATAAAGAAAAAAAAGTAAATGGAGATTGGCAAAAAACTGTGGACTAATAAGTTTTTCTGTTATATTATTTAATGGTGTGACGGCTAAGCAAGCAAGGATTCGATTCCCAACCATTTGGGAAATTACTGACTTGGTTATATGGATCTCTCGAAATCTGAATTTTCATTCAATGTTTCATTGATTCAAAAATTATAATACTTTTCCTTACTATACAGTTCATATGAAAGTAAATTTTTTTAAAACAAGCATTAAAAATTCATAAACAAAAATTAGTTTTCTGACCTCAAACATGAGCACCATCTTAGGATTTTCCTTTAAAAGTTCATGGAGGAGAGCTCCATCCCCACCTCCAAGAATCACTATTTCTTTTCCTTCATAATCTTCTTTACCTCTTTGCATTAAAGTCTCTGTATAAACCAAATCTCTATCAGAGAGATCTGTAAAGATTAATAATAAAAATTTGTATGAGTAAGTTAGATTACATTATTTATTATAATATAGATATTGTTCAATATATCAACCAATTCTAAAAACAATACTTACTTTGAAGGCCATCTAAAATTAACATATTTCCTAAAGTTCTTGAATGAACTATTTGTACTTTTTGAAATGGTGACATCTCTTCAAAAACTAATGCATCAATATCATATTCTAAAATACGTTCATCTGAAAAAACAACAAATAAATTATATGAAAAACTAGTTACTTAGCATATTTGGACTTAACACAAAACCTGTTCAGCATACCTACAATTTATGATAAAACTTTAAAGACCAAAATAAGGCCTGAAAAAAATAAAATAATAATAATATATCTGATGAATTGAAATTCATACATACCTTGCATTCCAGAGTTTTTTTTTTTTTTTGTTTTTTTATAATATAAGAGCTACACCCAAACCAAAATAGATATTTTGAATTGAACAAATAAATTATAAATATGAGAAAAAAAAAAAGCTAAGCATTGGTTGAGAGGAAAATATATATATATATAAAAAAATTAAACTTGAACTACTACTACTCATCTATTCTACAGACTTCAAATAAGCCACAACAAAAAAATTATAAAAACATTACATTAACTAATTTAATTTTTAATAAATATGAGTAGACCTATTTCAATAGTTTGGATTACAGTTGAATGAATAAAACGAACACAAAATATTTTTTAAATGCCAGTTACAGATATTAATGAATAGGATTACTAAAAAATCATAAAATTATAATAGACAAAAAATCTTGTTAGACTAAAAAAAAAAAAATAAAAAAAGGATTATAACCATAATGGGAAAGAGCTTACCGGAAGTTGGAAAATATCTAGCTACTCCTCCTCTTCTTAAAGGGGGAAACTTGTTAGAGATCACTTTTCCAAATTGAGCAGCTAATTCTTTTTCCAGCAAAGTGATACACTGTGTTAACCAAGCAAAAATAAAAATAGTAGCATTCAGGACTGTCTAAAAATCCAATACTACAAACTAAAATGCAAGCAACATGCACAAGGGCTCATTTCACAAGTTTACTTTAAATATTAACAATTACATATTTATATAAAAGCAAATTAGAAAAATTCATGAAGTAAAATGGTCCCTTTAAGTTTCATGTATAGCAAAACTAACTGCCCAATGTTCATAAAGACCTTAATTGGCAAGCCACGTAGAGCAAAATGAACAATTACTGAACAGTCAGTTTTACCACTTTTCTTAGCTTGTTTTATTTTCATTTTTTTTTTTTTTATAATAATAAAATAGTGATTAAAAATAGTATTGGCATTGGAAAAAACTCATTATACAAAAAAAAAAAAAATCAGAAGTTTGGGTGAATGAAGAAATACATGCCCATTCAAATATGCAACGTAATGAATAATTGGACTGCTAAAACGAATTACAATTTTTACCTGAAGAATTCAGGTAGAAGTCAATAGCAGAGCCTCGCTTAATAGTTGGAAAGAGTTTGCTTCGAGCTGAATTCAACACATACATCAGCTGTGATTCCAGTGACTGCACTTGCTATCACAATTATTAATGAAACTATATAATTCATCAATTAAAACTCAACAAATGATCAACCTAAGCTCTTAATCTTATTACAAAATATAAAGGGTCATAATTGAATAATATTACCCTTCAATGGCTTGCCAATTGGTTTGAATTTTTTTTTTTTTTTTTTTTATGATTTTGAATGAATAGATAAAAATAAATATTAATTGTAATAAAATAAATCAGGTTTTGTTCTTCAACTAAATTTCTACATTACAACTTCAACAATCATAAATCAATTGATAAAAAATTGTAACACCAACCTTGAAACTGATCAACTCTTCATCCGATTCATTTTTGTAATATTCTATATTAATAGTCAATAATCCTTGAGGAAACGACCGTGCTGTTATAAAACTTCCCCGATGGGCTGTAAACAAGACAATATATCCTCCATCTTCTATAGATCTAGAATGAACTTTAAATAACTGAGGAAAATAATTTTCTAGCACTTTGGTAAGAAGCTCTTCTTGTTGATCATTTTGTAGTTTTGAGGATTTCACGGAAAAATCCATGAGGATTGTGTTTACTGCCATTATCACACAATCTAGAAAAAATAAAATTTAAATAATTTATAGAACTAACTTGAAGAATATATCTGTATCTCAGAGTATGGATGTAAATATAATATATTGAAATACAAATTTCATATAAGTAAAGCCTCTTTATAAGAAGAAAGACAGGATTAACATTGAATTGAAGTCTTTGATTTGAAATAACTTTTATAGCAATAATTAATAACAAGTATCAATTTGTTAACATTAATAATTGATACTTTTATCAGACAAATTTGATTAAAAAAATATTAAGAATAGAAATAAAAATCTTATTATTAGAATCTGACTTTTTAAAAATAAATTAATTTGTCCAAATATAAAAAAAAAAACTTAATTTAAATCATGGTTTATATAAATCACAAAATGATCCTTTTCAGTAAAATCAGAGATTTAAAAAGCTGTAATTTCTTCTTTCTCCCTGACTTCAGCTCGCTGTAAAGCGATAAACAAACCACCTTATTTTCAGTAGTCAGTCATCCTTACAAGACGGTTCGTTCACCTGTCTACAATAAGCCAACCTCAGAATTTCATTTGTATTGTGATCATCAGATCTTGTATCCAACAATCAAAGTTTAGTAACACTTACAAAGCATATTTAGGCATTAGTCGATTGAAAATTTATTTGGATATATAAACGACTAAATTTTTAACAATGAATGAAGATGTTAAAAACAATTGAAATTTTATCCGAATTAAATTCTGTAGAGTGCTACCAGAGGTTGGTTTCTTAACAAGCATTTTCATATGATCATATTTCTGTGTACACATTTACTTGATGTATTTATATAATACAGCAGTAAGTACCACGAATAAACAAAAAAAAGATCCGAATAAATTTTTAGTTGTTTATTTACAACTAAAATTTCAATCAGATGAAAAATTATAAGAATAAAAATTTAGTCGAATGAACAATTATTCGATATTCAAATGTCACTTAAGGAAGAGTTTAATGGTATTTAGGTATAATTGTATGAAATCTTTTCTCTTCTGTGTGATGTTATTTCTTCATATGTACCAAACCAAATTTTACAAATAAAATTAAAAAAGCACTCTTCACATATGATCACCACGAAATAAAACTAGGAATATATAATAACAATAAATTGGAAAAATATTTATAAAATATGAAGGACAAAATGGAAAAATTAGACTAAGAAAATACCATTTATGAAATAGAATCTAAAAATTGTAACAAAGTATACAAAGGAGAAACTTCCAAAAATTAAAAACTCGAATCAACCAACATAAAAATAACTGTAAAAGTGTAAACAACAAATACAACTGCCCTCTCAAAACATAGCTTTTATTTCAATAACACAACAATTAAAAACGTAGTCCAATACACAACAAATAGAATAATGAGGAAGGTGTCTACATCAGCAAACATATAGAAAAAAACAATAAACTATAAAACTGTTACAAAAAACAAAACAAAATTAATTAGCCATTATGCTCATATAATAAATAAATTAAAAATATATTAAAACAATAGTTAAGGAGCAGAACCAAACAAACACACATTAGGGGGAGGGGTTGATAGAATAAAAGGATTAGTACAAAGTCCACTTAAATAATCAGCAATGTGACAGTGAAAATTGACCAACCATATATTTAATTGATGAATGAAATTATTTAAATGAAAACTGAAAAAAAGATGAATGTTTTCTAACAAGCATTGGAAGAATATAAGATAGAAGAATAACATTGAGAAGGTAAAATAAAAATGAATTGTAAAAACACAATAAATTTTTTTTTTTATTATTATTATTAGAAAATACTTCAACAAATGTTAATAATGTAAATGTTGTTCTAACAGTGTAAGCAGTATGTCTGAAGATGGGCAAAGAGCCCAAAACATAGGACATATAAATAAGTAACATAATATGGAAAAGAAAAAATTTCATACGATTATACCTAAAATAATTATTCGAATAATAATACATTTAAAGTTTTAATTACCCTTATTTATAAATGGTTTCCACTAATGATCCCGAACCACTCATGGATTTCCATTTCCATCATATTAAATTAAATCCTATTAACATGAAAAAAAGTTTAAAAACACAAAACTGACGATAATGATTAACTACAAGACCAATAAATCAATTACTTTTGAAATGAGATAGAGCAGGTGAGGTGTTATTTGTGCAGTAGTGCCTAAATATTAATTTTATTAGTTGTTAATATTGCCATATAAAAGATGACAATTTTATTTTCACCGTATGGGAGAGAACAACAAACCAAAGACCCTTGTCTTCTGCAAAATTCACAATAAGCCTCAGTGTTTAATGAGATAATAATAATAGAGATAGTTGAGTCTTATTGTTTAACTCTTAAATTGAGGGCATAACAGAAAATATAAAATTCTTATATTATATTATTCAATTTTTTGATCAATTAAAATTCCATGGGAGAGTTAACTACTAAATAAGTATTAAGTATTATTATTATTACTAAATAAGTAATTATATCTTGAGGAATAAACATATTTTTTCATATCACTTATATTTCAAATGCATTTTACAGAGAAAATTTCTAATGGAAGAAGTCGCACCAATGTACTAGTCATTTAATTCAGTAATTTCTCTAACAATTAGGATTTATGGTAAAACTATAAGTCATAATAACTATAAGCTATTCGAACTATCTTTATACCTTGAGGTAAAAGAAAAACAATGCTAAATTGGTAAAAAATGTGTGCTATACCTCAGAGATACAGACATAAATAAATAGAATCATGTATATAAAATCCTACCTTTATTTAATGTACCTATAGAAACTGTTCACAACCTCCTTTCAAATTGTAATTTTAAATTAAACTAACGAATAGTACCCGTCAAGTTATTGTTGAACCCAATGTGACATATCGGGCCGATATCATCGGCTTCACAAAGCAACCTTACTAGAGGAGGCTTCAAAAATAGCAGTTAGATCAATTTAGCCAACATAAATTGTACAAACAATTTTCAATGAACAACAGATCAATGAAATAATTGATTTGGTAAAAAATCACTTTTAAAAATTAGTAAAATACTATATTTAAGATTATTTAGTACTTTTTAAAAATTATTTCAGAATGAATATAGCAAGTTTGTTATATCAATAATTGGGCTATTGTTCCGAAATTTTATTTTACTTTATTTTAAAATTAAGTTTTAATAAAATATTTGTTAATAAATATTTAAATAATAATTATTGTAAGATTACAATGAGGAAGTACTATTCTATTATTAATTTTAAAATTTCACGTGTGTGTAGTTGGCTCACACAAGTGTCAACACTGTTTGTACCGCAGGTAGCAATTGTTTAGGCAGTTGGGTTCGTAGTAGTTAGGCCGTTGTTAGTTCGAGTTTTAAATTCGTTGAATAAGGTGCTCGAAATGGCTACGGCTTTGGAACCTCTTGTATTCTCATATGTGTATGACTTATTATTGAAAAAAGATACTACATTAGCTGGCGTGTTTCAAAAGAAGACTAATGCGGTAAGTACTATATATTTTTTTTGCCATGTACACCACATGTCGGCGAAATGTACCCCACGTGGTTTCTTCTTTAAGTTTGTTTATTTTTATTGCTATGTTTTATAAGCTATAACGCATGCCCTATACTCTATTAATAATTACTTATAACACTTATACTTCAGCCCCTTTATTTCTGAATTGTGCAATGGTTGTTAAAATTGATATTGTTTTATTTATTGTTTAGGCCCCTCTACCAAAAGGGAACCCCACAATATTTGATGTCTATAAACATTTTTTAAGGTGAGATATAATATATATGTCATAATTAATATTAAGTTAAGTAGTAACAGTGTATTATAAACTTTTATTTTCTTTACAGCACTTCTAAAAGAAAGTTTAACTATCCTAAAGCTTCCAAAGAAGATGATACATCGGAATCTAGTTCAGGTATTGTCACATTTCATAATGGTTTTTAGTTTGTATTTTAAGCTTAGCTCCTTGGGATTTGAGTTTATAACTTTAAATTATTTAACTACATATTAATTTAGATTTGTATAGATTGGAATCTAAATGTGTATTCAAAGATGAGTAATGTGGTCAATAGCTTACTCGAACCATGTGCTTTCTGTATATTATCTGTAATTAAAAGAATTATTTTCATTCTTTTAAGCATGCAGAATTTAAAATTTTTTCCATGCAGCCTTACTAATAATCATGATAAGTCATTAAAGTAATTTATAACTACATACTTAATCTGAGTATATAAGGAGGAATTTAGTGTACAACTTTGAATTATATGATTATGTATTAATTTGGATTTGTCTGGATCCGAGCTTGAATGTATATACAAAGAAAAATAATGTGGCCAGCCAATAGTTCAACCAAAACCATGTGCTTTCTTTATGTTTTTTTGTAATTGGAAGAGTTTACTTTTAAATTGATTTAGATACATTCAAGCATGCAGAATTTTAACATATTAAATCTTTTGACTCTTATGTTTTCTTTTAGAATCTGAAGAAGAAACTGCAAAACCTAAACCTGCTATTCAAAATGGTAAAGTTCAACCAAAATCAGTTGCAGGAAAAAAGGCTGGGTCCAGGTTAGCTTCTTTTATTTATTTGTTATTGCTAGATCTTAAAAGTTACTCCAATGTAGTAACTTAGTTTATGGTTCTACTGAAGATGAAATTTTGTGAATAGCCGAGTGAATCAAAAAGTAGATGGAATCCCAATATACAGATGTTAATCATACGTGAGCCATTAATGTTGGTACTATGACGATCCCGTTTATTACGGATATTATATTATAAGAAATATTTTTTTTAGCCCATAGTTTTAGAAGATTATTTGGTTTTGATCATGAACCACCACATGTTTCTCCATATTCAAAGGTAGTACCCACTTATGTAGACACTGGGTATGCCTCATAAGGGTCTCTTGGACCTAGGTCTAGTAAAATATTATTACAGTTTCTTTCTCATTGAGCTTTCCTGCTCCTGGTATATAATAATACCACATTATTATCACCATATCAGTGTATATTAAACATATCACTTCTTTTGTATTCTTGTTTGCTACTGAAATCGTCCAACCTATAATGGAATTTTTTCAATTCACCATCAAATGACCTAATAGTTCATTCATCTTCACCGAAAATTACCACAGCTTGTTGTGGTTCTGACCACAATTAAATAGAGCCTATGGTTTTTTTTCCTACAAACAATTTAGTATTTCGCAATACAAATTCATTATATATATTAAATGCTAATGTTATGTTGAGTTTTATGAATTAATTATTTATAATTTTAAGAGATTTTTTTTTAATTATTACAATAAAATTTGCATCACTCAAGTGAACTGTCAGGTTAACATGTGTCCATTCTGACAAGCCTATTTTGTGGTAATGCCAATTTTTTTGTTGGATTAGGATATATTTTATACTTAGATATAAGCTTCCTCACTACCCAGGGTAGTGAAGTTTTATTCATGCAAGGGGTTTAAAAAAATGTGCTCAGAATTGTAAATTTCCACTTGGTTTTACGTATCAGACATCATGGGCCAAATTTGGTTCAATGTTTGTCTGTTTGTAGTCAAATCAAGCTAACGTTCATTTACTACCGGTTTTCATGACATTTTTAGGGATTGTGCGAGTTAATACCTAGATGTTCCCATATAAGTTTTATCAAATTTCATTCAGTACTTCCGTTTACGCACACACAAACGCATGTTTTTAGATATGTCAGAAACGGCTCATTCGATTTGGATAAAAGGTAGGTATTAGTAAAAAAAAAAAATTTGGCAACACACAACATTCGCTTACCGCTTAACTTTGAATAGAAATTATTTTCTGGCCAAGTTAGGTTATTAAAAAAAAATTTTAGTTGCATTTTTAACTAAAGCTAAAAACGATGCAAATTATTTCACAATGGTTTATTATCTCCAAACAATTATACATCTAAAGTATTATTACCTTCCGAGTTACAAATAAAGAAAAACAAAAGGTGATTCTAATTATTGGACTAAACTGTTTTTCTTTAATCATTAGTAATATGCTAAAAAAAAAAAAAAAAATAGCATTAGTTCAGTAACACATTTAAAATTTAAAAACCAAACCAAGTTGGAGTAGAACACAAAAAAAAAACTGGAGACCATATCTTTGCTCCTAATTGTCCGATTTTAACGATTATTTTTTTTTTAGGAAATTTCGTAAACTTTTAAAAAACTATATACAATATCAACAAAAAAGTAAAAACTTTTCGAGTTATTCGGAACTTAATTTTACCATCCCTCGTAACTTTTTTTCCAGCTTCTTTTCGTTGAAGTATGTTATATAGATAAATTTAAAGGGCGTCGAGAAAATGATTTTAGCGAAGTTCCAATGAAATCTGTAAATTCATTTAGGAGCTACAGTCTGTAGCAACACAGGTTTTTCGGCCGCCATTTTGAAAGTTAAAGGTGGAGAGTAATGTCGATGAAGTAGGATCATCCTCAGGTGACCTCTGATTTTATATCAAAATTTGAAGAAAAAAAATTGGTCCAGTAGTTTCAGAGAAAATGCGCGGACGGACAAAAAAATTTTTATTCGTTTTTCAAATTTTGAGAGGGGGTTATGTTTTTGAATTTTTTGGTCGATCACAATGTTTCAATATTGAAAATAATAAACCAAAATTATAGCAAACAAATCATTACCATTGAAATAACAGTCCTATTTATTATATCACATGTAAGCATATTTTAAAAGTTTACATTTAGTTAGTAAATTTCATTTGATTTCCTTGAAAACATGTGATTTACGTTAAATATTATTAGTTTTCAAAAATTATTATCTGCAATTTTTTTGCAACTCTCCGTTACCTTCTACAACTTTCTATATTAGATATTGTTTTTTCTAAAATTCTTCGCCTTCTAACGATATATAGAAATTTCTTAGTTTTAATTTCATTTAATCATTAAAATTAATATAAATAACTGTTAACAATATAATGGCTGTGAAAGGCATTGATCAAATGGAATGGGGATTAGGTTAATACAATATTTTTATGAGGTTATAAAATTTGATGTTTTATTCAAAAAGTTAATTTATACTGTATTGTTTGATCAATTTCAAACGTCATTGACATAGCACCTACTGCTTCGATTTCGTTGTAATTTTCAGTTAAATTAAATTAATTTTTACTCTGAGATAAAAAAAAATCTTATTTGTGTTTTTTTTTTCTATTGTTGTTTAACTAGCTCGTAATTTTTGAAAATAATAATATTTAACGTAAATCACATGTTTTCATGGAAATTAAATGAAATTTACTAACTAAATGTAAACTTTTAAAATATTTTTAATTTGATATATATATATATATATATATATATATATATATATATATATATATATATATATATATATATATGCTTATTAGTCTGAAAAATGAAGATGATAGGTGACAATTATGTCTATTTTAATCACAGGTGCAGACTTTCGATTTTAATTGGCGGGAGGTTGACTAAAAAAAATAAATTGTTTTAAAAAATTACAGATTTTTACTTTCACTTACGTATATATGTAATATGTAGAACGGATAAGTATTGCGATCGAGAACATTTTTTAATCTGAGATTTCAACGAAATACACGTTTTGGGGTACCCTGAGTCCAAATAACCAAGACCCGAAAAATGGTCTGTGTATGTTAGCAGTCTAGCTCTAAAAAGAAAAGTCGTGCAAAACTGATATTACATATTTAAGATAGGTATATGCCTTAGGTGTGACAGCAACTTTTTCCTCAAAATCGGCTAACCAGAAGTGCCACTTTATATCAAGGATGAAACGTATTTTTATAATTTTCTCAAAAACGGCTCTAACGATTTTGATTAAACTCGTATCATTGTATAATTAAGTGTTCTTTAATATCAATTAGGTCTTATCCCCATTGATGTCACTTTACAGGGCTTAAATGCCCAATGTTCATATACGTCTTCCTCTGAAGTACCTGTAATATGGTTTATTTTAAATAACTAACTATCTCTCATGTTTAAGAGTTACGAAAAAAATGCTAAATATGACTTTTGAAAGAATTGGACAATTGAATAAAGGAGAAAAAAAAAATAAAAATGCTTGTTCATGTTCAAATAAATCTGCAGAAATGCTAGTCAAAAGGTATACGTAGAATATATCATCGGAAATCAGAGAATTTTAGAAAAAAACAATATCTAATATAGAAAGTTGTAGTTTATTACTCTTTATTATCGTCCATTTATTACAAAAAATCATCAAGTTAACTTTTAGAAAATTAAATTAGTGTGACAACTTTTGACCTATCTATGACAGACAATGCAAATCTATTAATTCCGTTTTAGTCAACTTTGCAATGGAAAATAACAGAACTAATAGTCTTGCAATTCACAATCAACGGATCGTACAATCCATAATCAACCCGTGATATAATAAATAGGTTAACATAAAAATATAATAAATTTGTTAACTGTAATTTTTTAGCTTAGCTCGTTTAAAAATGTAATTAAAAAATTTTATAATAGCCCAACATGGCCAGAAACTAATTTCTATTCAAAGTTGAGCGGTAAGTGAAACTTGTGTGTTGGGCGCACTAGATATTTTATTATATGTTTGTACAGTTATGGATTTTTACTTATTATGTATACTTGAAAATATCTATAAAAAAAATGCAATTGAATATATAACCTATTTGGTTAGATTAAACAAAGGGGAGTGGGGAGAAAGGCTTCTTAACATTGGTACCCATCTTGAAATTTTTCTGCTTAAAGGAAAAAATATCTTTGATTTGTTTGTGTGTATAACTTAAATAAAAATACATTATTCACAGAAAATATGAGGGTTGAATAAATCATAAAATCCTAGGATATGTATATATGTTGTCTTTTAATACGGATGATAATTTAAATAAAAGTAACATTAAGGCATCAATAAAATAGTTACACACCTACTACTAGGTCCTAGTCAACTTTTCTTAACATATTTTATTAATTTGTGTACCTTATTTATTGTTGATTTAAACAAATTTTTAACATCAATCATTTTTAAACATTTAACATTTAAACATTTTTAACATGGAGGGAGGGAGGCCAAAACGATATTCTCGCGCTAACATTTTTATTGGTTGGGGTGAGCTGGTGTTTTTACAACCCTATATGCTATTTGAATCTTATAATAGCCTCAGTCTAACAATTTTACAGAAATCCAATTGAGTCTTTTCTCAGTGTTTCCTTGTTCATGGTCAGTGCCATCTTGTTTCCTCTATTGCTAAAATTCTGGTTTAGAATGGAGGTCCATTTCTCAGAATACCCTCCACAATTCATTTACAAATATTCATACTGCTTGGTTATTCACACCCATATTGCTTTATCCATTCATGAGTTAATGCTATTCTGGATTTTTTGTGAAGAAGGGTTTCAATATTTTATTCTATTTTTGCATCACAAACATTGATCAGTCTCTTCTCTATGTAGGAACAAGCCTAATAATATGGCACCTTAAGGAAGAAACTTCAGAAGTACATACATTATTCTAATTAATAAAAAAAAATCTTTGTTTTTGTTTGTAAGATTCATCTGTGTTATATTCCAATTTATTATTTTTTTCAGTTCTGAAGATTCATCAGATTCTGATTCTGCCCAAAAATCTCCACAAAAGCAGCCTAAAACTCCATCGCAACCTGTTGCTCAGCCCAAAAAAGTGGCACCCAAACCTGCCAATAAACAAGAAAGTAGTAGTGATGACAGCTCATCTGAAGAAGAAGCACCTAAAACTAAATTAGCTCAGACTAAACTAAATGTTAGTCAAGTGAAAACTCCGTTAAAACCAACTCAAGCTCCGAAAAAAAAGGAAAGTAGCAGTGATGATAGCTCTTCTGATGAAGAACCTAAGAAAACTAATCTAACAAAGACTCCTCAAGTCACTGCTAAGAATAAATTGCAGACTCCTGCCCAAGGAAAAGTTCAAACTCCTGCTAGTAAGGTGCAGAAAAAAGAAGAAAGCAGCAGTGATGATAGCTCTTCTGAGGCTGAAGCGCCTGGAAAAAAAACAAATTTACCATCACAGGCAAAGCCTCAGACTCCAGCTCAAAATCCTGCAAAATTAAAGGGACAAACAAAAACTCCAACAGCTAAAAAAGATGAAAGCAGCGATGATGACAGTTCATCTGATGAAGCTCCCGTGAAGAAAACAAATCCAGCAGCTCTAGGAAAAACTGCGACTATAGGTCAGAAAAAGGTTCAAACACCTTTGCAAGCTAAAGCTGCAGCAAAAAAACAAGAAAGTAGCAGTGATGATAGCTCATCTGATGAAGAAACACCCGCAAAAAAAACTCCTGTACAAAATAAACAAGTGCAAAAAGTGCAAGGCTCGGTTCAAAAAGCCCAAAACATTCAGTCTCCACAAAAGTCTACACCAAAGCAACAGCTAAAAAAGAAGTCTAGCAGTAGTGATGACAGTTCTTCAGATGAGGAGCAACCGTCAACTAAGAAATCCCAACTTGTGAAAACACCCAATGCTGCTATCCCAGCAGTAAAAGTTCCACCAAAGAAAGAGGCAAGCAGCAGTGATGATTCTTCAGACGAAGAACCAGCCAAAAATAAACAGAATATTTCCCTTAATAAAAAACCTGCAAAACAGCAAATACAGAAGAAGCAAGAAAGCAGCGAGGATAGTTCTGATGATGAAGCTGCTACTGTAAAAAATTCTAAGGTTGTTCAAAATAAACCAAAACCTAATTTAACTACTGCTAAACCAGTCCAAACAAAACCAAAAGCAGCCTCCAGTGAAGACAGCAGTGAAGATAGTTCTGATGATGAAAAAAAGCCTGCTTCAAAACCTACTAAAAAGCCTGTGCCTGCAAAAAAATCTCAAAAAGAAGAATCCTCCAGCGATGATAGCTCGAGTGATGAAGAATCTAAAAGTATAGTATTTTTTATTTGTATTGTTTGTTTTTAAAATTAAGATTAAAATTAATACCTTTTAAATTTAATTTTTAGTAAGAATTTAAGGTAGAATCTTATTTTCTTGGAGATGAAAGGAGAAAAAATTCTGAATTGTGAAATTAGCAATTCCAAAAATTTATATTTATCATAGCTACCGCCTAGTCTGTGACTATCTTTATGAATTATCAGTTTTTAGTATTTTTCTGTTGAAAGGTTTCTTTCTTATAATATTTATTTTTTGTTTTATGAACTTATCAATTTTTTTTTTTAATCTTAAGATACCGAGACATTCCATGTCTCTTTGCTCTTTGCCACTGTTCCATTTCTTCTGGTGATTAATTTCATTTTTTTAACTCTGGGTTTTTTTTTTTTTTACTGACCTCAATTACACTATAGTTCAGGAACATTTGAAAATTTAAATGAGATTTTATAAATAACTATTCAATTAATATGAACTTTTATGATTACATGATGAAATATTGTATGTTTCTACTCCACTTTTCTATTTTTTTAATCTCTTAATGTTTATTAACTATTGTCCATCTTTTATTCTTTAAAGTTGTTTTTTTCAAAATAAGCTCTATTTTTTCATTCATTATTGTTAGCCTAGAACTTATAAAACATATTAATGTATATAATCATTTTAGCAGTCAAGTTGCCTCCTAAAACAAGTGCAGCTAAAAAACCTGCCCCTCAAGTTCAGAAAGATGAATCTAGCAGTGAAGAAGAATCAGATGAAGAAGAAAAGAGTAATAATTTTTTTTATATAAACATACTTAACATAAGTTTACTAAGCAGAATTAAAATAAGGAGGAAAAAAAAGAATAATTTGGCAAATACAAAAACCATTAAGATTCCTTTTTTCTTCATATTGTTTAAGCCTACGATTTTGATAAATTCAAGTTAATAGTATTGATCTTAAATAGTAATTTATGTTTATTAGACATTATTTCACTTTTAAATCCATCATTTTTGTGATGTTCTAAGTATGCTCACAGTATTCCAAATAGTGTAATAGTCATTCCCCGCCATTTCTTTGTGGTACTTTATCCTACACCAAGCCAATATGTCCTTCAACAGTTTAGTCTCAAACTATGATGATGGCTAATGCTTGAGGCAAATTACTGGACTGTATGAAATTATCTTCATGCTTCTTAAAACTATTGAATCACTCAAATCTTTAGTCTCTATATAGCTATTATTAAAAAAATTTATTCCTTTTTTCCTCCTACATTGCATTTTTTCATATTATCAAGTTCAACTTATTCTTAAAGTATTAGCTATTAGCTTTTATATATATATATATATATATATATATATATATAAACAAATGTAAAGTGTTTAGAGATTTATGTATAAATTAGATAAAAATATGCTAAATTTAGATATAATTGACAGTTTCACTTATTTTTTTTATGTTGTAGGTGTCCCTGAAAATCCGAAGAAACGAAAGCACGAATCCTTAGACAACAATGAGAAGCCTTTTGTAAGTAAAATATTTATTTTTATTTTATATTTAAGTTATCTAGGATTGAATCAGAATAAAATATCAGACAGTAACGTGAACAATTTTCACACAATATTCTAGACATGCAGTTTTAAAGAAACATTCATTAATACTATAAATCAGTAAGGATATTTAATTTATTTCACCCTGGATTGATATTACTCATCACTTTATAGTAAATATTGTACCAATAGTCCAAGTACTACTAAATAGTAACCTCGATACTTTTTTGGTATAATACTTGTTTCTTTCTTTAGAATTTTATTTTTATATGAAAACTCTTTGAAATAGTATGGTATAATTTTTTACTTGACAGAAATGAAATGAAAACTCAAGATTTGTTTTATATGTTACCATTAGCCATAAAAGCTTTCTACTTTTTTTTTTTTTTTATTTTTATTTATTTTTTTTTTTTATACTAAAACTTTTTTGTTTGTAATAGTAATGACAATCGATTGTTTATAATCAATATACAATTTGTTTTTTCAGAAAAAATTTGGTGATAAAAATTATTCCAACTTCGTGAAAGAAGGAGAAAATGATGTAAGTTTTTCCTTTATATTTCATTCTAGTCATATTTTCAATTTTTATACCTATTATTTTTAAAGGAAAAAAATAACTTAAGTTGTTTTCTACTCAGGTTAGGATGATTAAATATTTTTCAATTTAAGACATATTTTGTCTCTGCTTGTGCTTAACAGTTTTTAATAGTCACTGTCTTGATATAAGGTACACTATTGTCAGAGCAGCATATATTGGTTACATTTATGTTAATGCTATTGTTACCCAACAAACAAAAGCCTGGCACCATTGTTGTGTCAATGGCACAGAATGGATTAAAGAATTCAAATTCGTCTGGTTCCTTAGTAATTAAAGAATTATGGTTAAAATGAAAGCCTTTGAGCTTACTAGAAATGTGCTGCGCTTCTTCCACCTCCTTTGGGTGCCAGAACATTTAATATGTTTCTCCAGATAAAACCCCTATAAAAAGGTTATTAATTGATCTTCTGGAAGCGCAGACAATATGTTGGCTTCAGATAAGCCAATCCATTAATAAAAAAAACATGAAAATTGTTTACTTGGAGAACCAAGTGGTTAATAGACACCACTGTTCACTAAAAAAGACTCAACATTTGTGGTTACAAGTATCATGATAATTGTAAGGGAAAGCTCCAGGAACACAAGCCTTCCTCTATTGGCTCTCCGTTTTAAATTTGATTAGAAGAGCCAGGAGGTTTGTTGGGGGAGTGGGTGTCAATATGTTTCTAATGGTTATCTTGAGGTAGGAAAAAAGTGCTTACAGCCACGTTTACTATTATCAATAATACACTAAGTAAGCCCACTCGTTTCCAAAGTGAATCCTCATTTTTTAATTTATTTTTTTCTGAAATGAAGATAAGTACGACCTCTATTTAAAAATAGTTAATAATCCGATTAACCAATATTTTTTTTTTAAATTATACTAAAAAAAGGGTAAATAAGTTAATTTCCTAAGCTAGTCTTTTCCCTTCAAGGAATATGATGATAAATTTTTCGAGTATTTAAAAAAAATAATTCATCAAAGCACTTCGCCATTTTTGTTCAAATGTAAATTAAAAATTAATTGATTTTATTCTGTAATTATTGCAAGTAAAAAGTTAAATTTTTATAGTTCAATTTTAATAACTTTTTTTTTCTTGAACTATAACACATTTTTTTTTCTCTAAACCAAACCCCCTAACAATCTTTTATTGGTTTAAAAGGGCCCTTGGTGTTTAATTCATTTTAAAAGTGACCCTATTTAAGTTTCAGTGTTTTTAAGTTACTATTAAAATAAGTGATTTTCAAAAGTATGTGCTACACATAAAGAATTCATTATTTTAAAAATGATTTGTTTTGATATTATAATTGGAATAGAAAACATAGTTCTTTGTCGTTCCTGAAAATTAGTCAATGACGTTCAGGATTCACTTCAGGAATAATTGACCCACGTTATGATAATACATAATATATATAAAACAGGTGTAATCAAACTTGTACACAGAATCACCTAAGAAGGGTACTATAAGCATGTCTGATTATTTCTGTTTAAATAATTGTGCATTAGACTTTTAGCGCAGTGAAACTGGTTTCAGTATAATAGGAATTGATCAAAATATTTTAAATGAGAAATGTCTTGCATGTCTAATAAAATCCGGAGGATGATTTAGATATTCAATTTAAATTAAGAAAACCATATCATTATGGGAGAAAGATTCCATACTGAAATATTTTGAATATTCGTATGAATTTTAATGGAGCAAAGAATACTCTCCACTGCGAGTCCAAGATTATTTAATAATCCCAGTGTATTTGTATTTAAAACCATGTACTGTTCTCACAACAAGAGATCCTAGATATTAAGTGCTTTAAAAATGGAACTAAAAAAAAATTATTCCATTGAGGATTAAGCCAAATTGCAGCTATAAATTAGATATTTTTGGTTCATTGCAAAAAATCGCTAAGTAGACTTTTGATGGGCCTATAATTTAAAAATATAGAATTTTGATTGTATTAATCAATCTCAAAATCTATTAAGTGCATCAAAGTAATGCTAATTCTATTAAATGTCAAAAATAGGCACACACCAATTAAGCAATCTTGTTTTGAATTCACGGAGAAAAACTTATAAAATTACTTTGTGATTTAAATCCTTCCCAAAATGTTGCTTCATGACTTTTTGCAATAAACCAACTATATTAAATTGACATTCTTTCTGTTGATTTTTTAATTTTAGTTAACTTATAAGTATCTGAATTGCAATGTATTATTTGTTGTCGTAATATGTAAACACATTACATATTTCAGAAAATCGACTTTACTTTTGTTAGTAAACTTCAAGTTCCATTGATCATAGCTCCATTGAATTGAATATTTAGTTCAATTTAATGGAAAAGATGAATTAGGTCCATAACTATACATTGTACACATGTTACATTGTATATAAGTTTTACAAAAATTATAGATACGTAACACTACAAGTTAATTCAGCTAGTTAAACAGCTAATTTCTACAAGGTAGTCTACTTTAAAACTAATCCCCACAATAAGTTAAATTAAGTTTATAGATAGACATAATGCAAGTGAAGCCTAGTATATCCTAGTAGACCCATGCTGCACTATTGGTCTAGAGACATTCTCGAGGCACAGTCTAGAGACACCAGAGAACGGTGTCGTTCTTTTTCATCTAGCATCCACATTACTATAATGTAAATTTCTCAGTCTCTTCTTCGCGATTCACCATTAAGGACATTGTTTTGTGCGGAATGAGTTCCTGCTTAGTGATAATTATAAGTGAAAGAACGTGGTCACACGAAGTGCTCGCAGAAGGCCATAAGTTCGTTAATGCAGTATTAAAGAAATTAAGGCTGGAAAATGCTAGGGATTTTTGGAATTTCATTTGACTGATGACAATAGATTTTGAATATTTGCTTTTGATGGTTGGAGCGATAAACAGCCGAACAAAACCACTTGGTAGCTGGAGACAGACTGGGACGTGTATTGCCTTTAGATACCGAGTGATGTTTGAATTGTCAAAATGTTATGTAACATGTCTAACATTGCTTGCTGTCTCCCATTCCGATCAGGAGACTTTAAGTCTAGTTCACACTTGTAGACCGTGTGATTCGTCTAGAGACACCGATCTTTGTGTCGTCTAGGGTCCACACTATGATATGAATTTCACGATCCACCATGCTGGACATTATTTTGTGTGGAATGAGTTCCTCCTTAGTACTAATTACAAGTGGAAGAACACGAAAATGTATACATGAAACTTGCTCTTTAGACCACATGTTTTCAAAACAACTATAAAACTTCAGAAGATAACTTAACAGTTGGACCAACTGCTCGTTAGCTTGAAACAGATTAGGGAAGTGTCTTGCCTCTAGACGCCGATTGACTTCCACATTGTCAAATTGTTGCGAAACTAGTCTAACATTGGATGTGGTCTCCTATTTCGATCGGGAGACTTTAGACCAGGCAACTTGTCTACTAGTGCAGACTAGGCTTTAGATTAAGATAAAAAAAAGTGGTATTATTCATGTTGAATGATGTTGATCATTTTTCTTCTTTATTTGTTTGCATTTAACTCAGTACATATTTTGAATTCTTGGTTTTTTAGGGATAAATAACGCTACTATGTTAATCTAATTACCACAGTCTATATAAGTTAACAGCTAAATACTTATTGGGCTAGATAACTTTGTCTTTTTCAGATAAAGATATTTTATATCTTTTCATAATTACAATTGGATCAAATATTGATATTCATAGTCTCGCTCAAACTCGCTAAGGAATTAATTAGGATATTTTTTTGTAATCAACTGCATTTAAAATAGCTGAAGTGTAGGTTTTGTCTATTTTGTATTATAATATATTAACTGCTGACACGCAATACTTGTTATACTCGGATGCTGAATAAAACTAACCTTAGTAAAATATCAAGAACTTAAAAACATCTTTTACTAACCTTATTTTTTACTTACATAAGGCCAAAAGCTTATTGTGTTAATGATTTCTTTTTTCTTAAAATCCATTAAGATATGTCAATGGAAAATTTATTATTAAGTATAATTAATAGTTCTGTTAGATAACTTTCTTATATAACTCAGGCACTTGATTGAATAATAAATTTATCTTTTGTTTTAATAATGGCATTGGTTAATATTAGTTTTTCATATTTAGAATGGCACAATACAAAGCAACAAAAGGCGAAAATCTGAGCCATACAGGAGGGTTTTGGAGGAGAAAGTTGAGGTAGATCCACGATTAGCTGATAACTCTTTTGAAGCCAAGGTGAGAAATTGAAATGCTCATAGGAGGCTTAAGCAATCTGTGGCTATTTTAAACCGTCGTTTATGTCTGAACGTTGACTATTTCACTCCTATTGCTAGACCAATGATTTCAATCAGCTTGATGCATTCTTCACGATGGTTCCTAATAAACTGCCTCTTGTTGTATTGAAGTTTTAGTGTTGTTTTACTTCCTTTGTTCCACCAAATGGTATAATTATTAAGAATCCAGCCTAATCCTAATGGCGTTTTGATGACCCCAGTTGAGTTTGTATGGGAATTGAAATTCTTCAGGATTATTTTCATTCTCATTTCCTCATTTTACCTTCACTACATGCAAAATCTGCTGATGTATATTGATTTTATACATAATTTTAATTTTTTCTTGTTACTATTATTTTCAAGATTTTATAATCTAGCATTTAGATCATTATTATTAAATGTGATACATTGCAATCCAGATGTTAAAATTACATTTACTTAACTTTTATATTATAATAGCACAAATTTGCTTAAGCCTTCTTTTACTATTTTTATTTTATGTTTTTTCCTCAGGATGGAGAAAGAAGAGAGAGCTTCGGTCGAGGGGGTGGTCGTGGTGGTGGGGGAAGGGGTTTCGGTGGAAGGAAGAGCTTTGGTGGTAATGACAGAGATGGAAGGAATAGCTTTGGCGGTGACAATGATAAGGGTGGAAGAAATAGCTTTGGTGGTGGTAGAGGGGGTAGAGGAAGAGGTGGTTTTGGTGGTGGAAGAGGGGGTGGAGGAAGAGGAGGATTTGGCGATAGAGGCGGAAGAGGAGGATTTGGCGATAGAGGTGGAAGGGGAGGATTTGGTGATAGAGGTGGACGTGGTAGAGGAGGAAGGGGAGGCTTTGGAGATAGGAAAAGTTTCGGTGGTGGCGACAATAAAGGATTTGGAGATAAGGGAGGTTTTAGAAAAAGTTGGGACAATAACCAAAGTAGTGGCGATGCTCCCGCAAATAAGAAAATTAAATTTGATGACTAGATATTAAAATAATTGTAAAGGTAAGTAGCTTTAACATTTAGTTCATATTATAGTTATTTAATTATTATTTTTATTCTATGCTTTTTACCTTCCTTTAGAGTGTGTGGTATGTCTTGATGTTTAATTGTTCCGAATTCCGGAATATTAATTTATTTTTTTCTTGCGTGCCATAATTTTCAAAACAACAGTCAAAATTCTCAAAATACCATATAATATAAGGTAAATAGAACCAATAGGTCTTTTATCTTCGTGTTAGCTTGTTCCAAGTTCTGGAATATTAATTTGTTCTTTTTTACTGACATTAAATATATTTAGTTATAAATTGAGTTAATTTTGTAATGTTTTTGTTATACTTGCCATTTTCAAAATACTATATAATCATATAAGGTAAAGAGGACCAACAGGCTCTTTTGTCAGACTAGATCCCCCTCCCATTTTACCAATACGAAATTAGTTATTGTATAAAAATTATGTAATAAATTTTGTCCCCAAAAAAATTTTAATTAAATTATAATTTAAAAAAAAAGTTTGATAATAATAAGTATCTTTGCTAAAAATAGTCTGATTTGATTTTTTTTTTAAATTTAATGAATTAAAAAACTTTTCAAATAATCATGGATATAATCTACCATAAATTTTGTACATTTTAAGTTATGCATGAATAAAGTTTTTTTTTTTTTTTTTTTTTTTTCTTGGATTTTCTGATTGATATGCTTATTTTCCCACCTCAATGAGATGATAATCTTCAAAATGGTGGCTCCTTCATTGGATTTGATGAAGAGTTTAGATGGATGTGGAGTACTGCCATTAAAACACTTTTAATAAATAATGTATAAAGATTTTAAGATTTTCATTATGAAAATTAAAATATTTTAAACATGGCTTATAAGGCCAAAATATTACAAAATATTTTCAATAATAATAATTAATCAACTATTTTTTTACTTTAAATGTTTTAGACATTGTTGGAACTTATTATTTCATTAATAATTATTGATAAAAATAAATAATCTTTAGATATATATTTAAATTAAACTTTTCATACTATATTGAATGAAAGAAAAAAAACTTTAAATGAATTCTCCAATTTTTTTAATTATTAAGAACCAATAAATTTCACCAATATATTGATAAATTTGTATGCAGTAAATAAACTGAATTATGTATGTACTTCCAGTGCCAGCCTTAGACATTCTGTATTCTTGGGCAAAGGCGTCATCTCTGCTGCCTTACCTAAAAAAAATAATTTCTTTTCATTCAATATTTCTCTAATATTGTTGCTTTATTATAGGTGAAATTAATTATTTTAAAACCTTTTTGAATTTTTTTTTTAAATTTCTAACAATTGGCCGCTCCACCCTATGGCTGTATATTTCTCATGACATAGAACCACTGAACTCAAATAGTTAATTGGGATAGATTGTAGATCAAAGGTCCTTTGCACATGAATTACTCATTATAAACTGAAGTGGTGAATAGTAAATTCAATTCCACATTGGTAATTGATTTGGTTTCAAAAAAAAAATTTAATGGAAAAATATTTACTCAGTTTTTTTTTTAAATTAAAAACTACACAAACAATTAATTGCCTACAGAATCAATATAAATTATAAATATTCAAGTATGAAGTTTTCATGGTAGAAGAATTAATGAATAATGGAAACTTGATAATTTAAATCATGTGAATAAATGTGGAACATCAATTATTATTCCTAAGAATTTGATGAATATAGTGTAATCTGCATAACATGGTGCAAAGGTTCTAACACTATAAATTATTTATATTTTTTCTAATAATGACTTATTACCTTTTTTTTCATGTTGAATGATTTTAATTGTTAATTATTTTGTTCTTAAGAGAGGTGCATATGGCAGTTGGGGTGAAAGAGCAAACAATGTTTTGAAGTTCGCAAAAGGAAAACGATTTAAACACGAGAAGACTAAGAAAAAGCGAGGGTCCTACAAAGGTGGCCAGATAGACACATCTATCAATTCGATAAAATTTGACTAAATGTCTTGTGAATTTGTTATATGTTGATTGAGGGGTCTGAATATTAGGCCATTTTTGTTTTGTTTTTTTATCAGGACAATGTTCCTTTTTATGAGTGCTGACTATTTATAGTATTCTATTTTACTTATTACTCAACAATTGTACATAGGGCTATGTATCTAATTTTATTGCCTCTGATAGTCATTCCTCAATTTTTATTTGTTTTTGTTTTTTTAGTTTCATCTTTGAAAATTATTTCAATATTATTTTGTTTTTATAGATGTCACTTTTTATGAGAATACAAACTTATAGTTAAATATATATTTATATTGCAGGGCATAGAATATATTTAGAATTTTAATGTATTGTTACACGTTGTGATTTATGAACATTAGGTTTGTTTTTTTAATATGTATATTCTATGTATATAATATAAGTATAATATGAAGATCCAATTTCTGTTTTTGAGTTGTCACTGCTAGTGTTTATGATCTTTTCTTTGAAAAATCTGTAAATTATGACAGCTTACCACTTAATGTAAATAATAATGATTTTGATTATACTCCTTTTTTTGTTAATTATTATTCTGTATAATGAGATACTTCTTCTCAATCCTAAGTTTTTAATTTTATACTTCCGAAAACCATTAACTTTGGTTCAAATTATGCCAAAGATCAGCAAGCAAGATGCAGATAATCAAAAATTTCCTCCCATATTTTTATATTTTAAATATCAAAGAACAAATTTGGTTTTGTAGCTGTATGTGCGCATAGTCGATTTGAAGACATTTTACTTATTAATTTTCGTACTTGAGTGGTCAATTTAAACAAATTTGATGTACTGCTTTTCCTTCAAGCAGCCATAACTGTATTTTCCTTAGGCATGCTTATATTTCCAAAATAGCATGTTCAGTTTGGGAGAAGTTGAGGATTAGATACAAAATTGTGCTGTATCCATTTTATTCAATTCCATCCAATATTTATTCTTACATCTGGAATGGAACCATGTAACTTCCCTAAGTTTTCTTTATTTTTAATTGATATTATTTTTTTGAGCACAGATTGAAATCTGGAATTCTGGGAACAATTAGCTCAAAAAACAAACAATTATACTATTCATTACCAAACGGAATTTTTGAATTGATAAATGGTGGTGGAAAGGCCACGAAATAGAGTTTTATTAATTTTTATCAGGGAGCGTGTCAAATATTTTGATGGGTCTTAACTTTAATTTGAAAAATTAAAAAAAATTATATATTTTTGGCTTGAGAACCAAAATACAAGCAGGCTGCTGATTAACTTCAGGTGACTGATAGAGTATTTTAATATTGTTTTACTGGTTATTTGAAAAGATGGGAGGGTAGAAATAACAATTTTTAAAGTGTGTCTAACATTTTGACACAGAGTGTATGGCTTATTCAGTTTAGTCTCAAGTTTAAGACAATTTGAGAAATTATCTACCAGTTGACACATGAAAAGATAGATTATATTCATACTATAGTTGAATGAGTTTTAAACTTTTCAAACATCAAAGTCGTATGAAAGTAAAATTGCATATTCAAGGTTTTTATATGCTTGGGATGTTACTGCAACTTTTTCGTCAAAATCGGCTAACAGAAAGTGGCACTTTATATAATGGACTAAAAACATTTTTACGATTTTCTTGAAAAAGGCTCTAATGGTTTTGATTAAATTCATTGTATCAGTGAAAATTAAGCAGTTTTAAATAAAATGTAGGTTTTATTCTGATTGACGTTCTCTAACAAGGATTAAATGGCTAATTTTCAGTATTAGCTTTCCCTAAAGTACCTTTAATTTTTTTTTATTTGAAGAAATTGACGCTTTCACATTAATCTTTAATATAAAAGAATTTGATAATTAACTAAAGGAGAAATAAGAGATCAATTGACCACGAATAATTATGATTGAGGAACCAAAGGAATATATGCTGGCCTGAAAGATTAGAACACTTTTACATACCTAACATGAGCTTAATATAATAAGGAGTCCGACAATATTGTGTAAATAAACATGCGGTTTTCATAAATGATATTGCTATATATATATATATATAGAAGGGTACTTATACAAATTAAAATACCCAGAATGAAATATAAATCAATATAGCATTTATAATTTTTACTTATACTTCCCCTTTGACTGAAAATACTTATTTCTGCTAAAAAGAGGGTGGCGAGTGATAGTTCTGTGATTTTTAAAATTCTCTACCCCTATCCAAAATACATTATAAACTTGTACCTGTGATATTTCATTTTCGTTCAACTAATTTAGTTTTTAAACTAGCTCTATATTAATCAAGAACCTCCCTATAGTTGTTTCCATATAATGCTAAATTAAATACTACAAATACCATGAGAGTTATTAATTATTGGCTTGATACAATATATTTTTAAGGCGGCTTTACATATACAAACCCTTGGTTTAAAGAACATGGACATGTTAATATGTTTGTGTTACAGAGAAGAACTCTGGTTTAAATTAATTTTCTTTTATTAAGATATCTGTTAAAACTTCAATTCTTCTCTTCTTTTTTTTGTCCTCGCCTTTAAGGCTATAAGGGGTTTTCCTGGGCAGGGATTTAAAAGACTCCGCACCGGGACGCGAACTCTTGACTATTTTAAATCCATTGTCTCATAGATCAGGTTGTCAGGCAACGGCAATGCTTTGCACACACGTTAGCCCGTTCCGCCACCCCGCCCGCACTTCAATCAATTCTAGCATGTATGACACTACTCCAAAAATTCTATTTTGCGCATATAAATGCGGTAATTCTCTCTCCTTCCCCCCACCCAAAAAAAAAAATGGCGTTGGAGGGTGAAAAAAGTTGAGGTGTGCTAACTTTTCTAGCCTACTAAATTTTTTTTTTTAACTTTTATTATGATATTTACAACTGCATTAGTATGAATACATCAAGTAAATGTGTACAGAGGAATATAATAACGTGAAACACACTTGTTGAGAAACTACCCATTGGTAGCGCTCTAACTATTTGTCTACATGAGGAGATCACGAGGCCATCTTCTTTTCATACGCCTCGGAGGGTTATCAGGAATCGGAGAGGAAGCAAGGTTAGAAACAAGAGGATTCGGATGGTTATGAAGTTTATTATGGAAGGATAGGTGCCTACTAAATTTGAACACGAATTTCGACTGTCAAACTCAATTTGTAGAGGTACACACAACCTGAAAAAACATAGAGCTGGGGCTACCTTTTGGTGAAGTGTTTGATGATCTCTATCTAATTTTTCCCACCGATTATTTATTTTCATTCATACTACTGTCATTAAGTCCAATAAAGGAACCATTGCATTTATATGATGCAGCTAGTTTTGGTTCTCAGCTGTTTCTTCCATCTCATTTCCCGATTCCAACGTGTCCCACCATTGGTAAGTGTGCCTATATCCTCTTACCTATTGTGATAAGGTCAGTTACGATTAAACTATTATTATCTGAGATAAAATACAATTACAGATAACCTCAGGATTATCTAATCGGTTCTGGAAATTGAAAATTAAGGAATCTAGCTCCGGACTTGTAATATGAGAACAAGAATGAAAGCGTTAATTTCTTACCATCTAGGGCAGGAAGGAGGCTCCGGAAGAAGGTATAGATCTGGAGACCGTTAAATCTAGTTAGCAACTCTCCGGATGTAGCACCGTTGTAAGACTATTCGGCCTCCGCCATGTTCGGGAAAATTTCAGAGTACCACTAGCGGATCTAGCATTTGCTTTTTTTTTGAGGGGGGAGGGGGTGTTTCAGCCCGGAAGCTTTTTTTTCATATATATAACGATAATTACTTGGAAAACAGAAAGATACTAACTACCTATATCAAATGGTGTTTAAGTGATTCTTGAAGTACTATTTAAATGTAATTAAACGAGCAATAATACTTTAAGATATAATTTTTTAATATTTTTTAACATAAAACATGTATACATTTTATCATTTTGGAGGGGAGCTTCAGCCCGAAAGCCCCCCGTAAATCCGCCTGTGCTGAGTACCTCAGTTTTTGAGTGACAATTGAATATACCATTCGAATTTGTTTTATTGTATTTATTTTATATTATTTTTAAAGAACGATTATCGATGAAGATATTAAATATTTTCTAACAATTCAGAACAACGAATGTTGGACCCAAATGGGAAAAAAATTGGACATAATAGTATTTTTTTTCAGAAGTCTGAAATTACCAATAGCTATCCTTAGCTAAGCAGTTTGTCCGGTCGTCCAGAAAATAGTGTGAAATTGCATGTGTAAACGACTATCATATCCACGAGAAAGGCAATCCTCTCAATATGCCTTTTCACAAAATATAGTCCCGTTGCAAGGTTGACTCTTGACAATATTTTTATAGCTTATCCCCGATCTAAGTTTTCATAATTGTTGCTGAAGCCTTGAAACGTTTTGTTAATTCATTCCGCAGAATTCATGTTATTCTTCAAGTTCTGAGTCCTGATTAAGATTTGACGAAATTTATAAATAACGCCAGACCGTCTTGTTAATGGCTTCTTCTTCGTTGTCTATAGGAAGTACCACTAACGGATCCAGGATCTTATTTTGAGGGGAGCTTCGGCCCGAAATATTTTTTTTCATATACATATAACAATAATTAATTAGAAAAGAAAAGAAAGAAATTAACTACCTATATCAAATGGTGTTTAAGTGGTTCTTGAAGTTCTATTAAATGTAATTACACGAACAAGAATACTTTAAGAGATAGTTTTTTAATTTTTTTCTGAAAACATGGTAATATTTTACCATTTTGGGGGGGGAGGGCTTCAGCCCGAAGCTCCCTCCGTAAATCCGTCTGTGATGCATTGTGCACACCTGTTAGTGGAGTATGTACTTCAGATATCAATAAATAAGATATATCAGAATAATGCCGAAAGAACAGCAATAGTAATTATAATTTATCAATATGAATTATTTAAATCTGATTTTTACCCCTTTCTCTCAGAAAACAGCAATGAGTATTGTTATGTAGTGTAATGATAACAGATAGATTACTATTAGCCCGAAAGCCTCCCCCGTAGATCCGCCTGTGCTTCGGAATAAAGAAAGAAAATATCTACCTATATGAAATGGTGTTTAAGTGATTCTTTAAGTCCTATTAAATGTTATTAGACGAACAATAATATTTTTAGACATGGGCGGATCTACGGGGGGGTCCTTTCGGGCTGCAGCCCCCCTCCCCCAAAATGGTGAAATATAACCATGTTTTATCGAAAAAAATATTAAAAAAGTATCTCTTAAAGTATTATTGTTCGTGTAATTACATTTAGAAGGTCTTTAGGAATCACTTAAACACCATTTCATACAGGTAGTTAGTTTCTTTCTTTTTTTCCAAAGTAATTATCGTTATTTTTATGAAAAAAACAACTTTCGGACTGAAGCCCCCCCCCCAAAAAAAATAAATCCTGGATCCGCTAGTGCTTTTAGAGACGACTCTTTTCATAAAAGATGGTTATATTTTACCATTTTGGAGGGGAGAAGAGGGAGGAAGATGGCTTCAACCCGAAAGTCCTCCTCCCCCGTTGATCCGTCTGTGCTAAGTACTAGTC